TGAATGGTAGTTATTTGTCAAACTACTATCAAGCCTTCTCGTTTTTAAACCGCTATAATGTAGTAATTGCAAGTGTTCGTATACCAATCTGGTATTGTTGCGGTATGGCATCATTCATCCAACGCCAATATTATCAATATCGGGCTAGTTGTCGTCTATCTCCATCAGATGGGTGGAGTCCACCTTTACGACCTGTCGAGGGAGATGACATACTGCACGACCTACAGCCACAATGGTGCTGATGTTAATGCTCTGTGTACCCCACATGCCGAGTACGCTCCTCCGTAGATCGTGTGACCGTTCAGGCCTGGCTCAGGTCCGGTCATAGGACACTGTTGTTCTCTGGTGGAGATGATGGCACGATAAGCATGTGGGATACTCGAAGAATGCGACGGCCTGCTGGGGTGGGTTTAGTGTGCTCGCATAGTTTTTGGTCTTCTCCGACCGGAAATCTTGAGCGGGAGTAATGGTAGGTGCTGGTGGGGCATACGGATGGTATATGCAGCCTGCATATGTCCGACGCTAGCTGGCACTATTTGTGCTCGAATGCTAAGGACCAGAAGGTTAAGTTGTGGGACTTGAGGACGGGTACGCAGTGGATGTTTGGCTGGACCTCGCTGGTGACGATAGTGCAGAGCACCTCAGCTCCTGTGAATGTGGTGGATTACCACACCAAGCATCAAGCAGCGCCATGTAACCCGGCATGGGATTACCGTAGTCAGCCGTACCCAGGGAATCCTCTCCTCGACTGCTACACCCATCCACACGATAAGTATAAATTCTGGACCTTCTCGAAAACTACGGTGCCGCATCTCGACAGGTCTCTGTACACTTTTGTTGGTCACAAGGTTCATCGGACGCTCATTCGTGCTCGGATGTCGCCTATGCGCACCACGGGAGGCCGGTACTAACTCAATTCAATTTTGTGGCGCAGTGACGGTTATCTGTTACCGGTACATCCTTTCCGGCAGTGCCAACGGCATCATACATATATGGGACCTGCAGAATCCTTCCCCCTTCGGCAGAACGTGAGCTCGTGCGGTGGCATCAACAGTCAGAGCATTCATGAGTGAATTTCAGCTTCCGAGCGATGGGGGAGCGGCTCACAGATGGGGACACGGAGATTGGCGACAACGACAGTTTGAGCGACGACGACGACTGGTATGACAGATCGCATACCACTCGAGCAGGTGGGCTAAGCTGCGTCCTCGCGATGTGTTTTCGAGACTGTGCTGAGCCTCCAACGGGGCGTGTTTAATATGCCATTATCAGTAGCATAGAACTACTTTCAGTTACCTGGCACCCAACACTCCCAGCGGCACTGTATGCCTCTTGGGACCTTCAGGTCCGTATGCTGTCAGCATAGTCACAAGTAGCTCGGTAGTCTGAATTCTGGTTAGATGTTTAAAGTTGACTTTTTTCTTGTGATGATGCCCTATTGTGTTGCTCATTATTATCATCAAGATCACAGTAGTGGAGAAGAGCCTCATCGTGTAGAGAGATAGCTCGGACACTTACACCGCGCTCACGCTCGATTGGATCGCCACGAGCACCATGACCAATCTTCATAATTCCTTCGTCTAACGTGGCGTCTGACCGTCCAGGGAGCGTGACAATCGCACCACATCGACGATGATAAAGCCGGAATCAACGAGAGTGTGTGCTGGTCAGGAAGTCGCCAATGGCAGCTGGTCATCGGATTCTGGCTCGTGGATTTCAACCGTCAAGTGACTAGATTGTCGGGCGAGCGAGATATTCGATGCAAATATGCGCAGTGTGAAGATTATAGTTACACCCTCCAGGCCCTGGAGTCCAGGGGAAGGTACCACACAAAGAGAACGCCTCTATGAAGGATGCTGCTTGTATTTATTACAGTGTCGTCTTATTAATTATACGTTAAGTTGCCTAAAGGGCTTTCCAACGGTATGGACCACGATCTTAACCATGTCTTTGGGTTGGTTCGGCAGAGTTGTTTAAGCTCAGGCATGCCCACAACATGTAACGATAGAGACGAGGGAGGTGGGATGGAACTAGGCTTGTAGATAATCCTTGTCGTCTGTTGCTGGGAACGCACATATTCTACCGCGATCACAGGGGATGTGATACTGCGAGGCTCGAGCTTTCGGACAACTGCGTTGTTGTCGCTTTCAACGACAGCTTTTTTGTGGGGAGGCGAACATAGTAATTGCCATAGACGGACGAAATGCGGATCGTGAAAATGCTTCGGAGGGGAAAGGCATAATGTTGTGTTCGACTGATATGAGGGCCTCTTATGAAGGCTTACTGATTTTGTTACTATGATTGATCCTGATCATGCTGATGCTCCACCGCTCTATGGGAACGATCCTGAGGAGATCTGTAATACTGGGCTGGGGTTCGGATAGATCTGCACTGGGGTGCAGCATTTTGCTCGAGTGATGATTTCCCTCTTAGGCGATATCAACGGTATGGACGCACGGGCATATGATAGTGTGAAGGACGAGGAGGCAGAGAAGAGGAAGGTGTCTGGGGGATCTGCTGTTTTCGGGTATATGTTAGCGTTCGTTGAGTCTATCGGTTATATAGTTCTCTTTATCGCGATTGACACGCTTTAATGAGAGCTCGTTGAAAGTGCCATAGAGCGTTGCTGTGTGTAGAATCGAGAACGGAGAGAAGACGAGGCCTTCGAGAATCCTTCGGAGACGACGAAAAAGGTCGAGATGGAGTACATGGCACCAAAAAAGGAAAGACGTTTCAAGGTGAGATTCACCACTCGGAAAAGGAGAGCGTCGTGAACTTGTACACTGTAGTGACAGTCCCTTATGCCGTCTATAGGACGGTTGGGGTCTATTTCCAGTAGGAATCCTCCCGGACTTGGATAATTCATTTGCTAGTTCGTACTCACCTAGACAGGAGGGAGTCTTCTCAGTGCTGTATGGCAAACGGTATATGCTTTCAGCTGTATATGGCGTATCACGGGCGTCGTGGTCCGTCATGCTGCATTAAGATTCGTTTACCAAGGCATGGAGGATACGAGGAAGGTCCCAGTATAAATCTCAAGAAGCTCTTTGTAATCTTCAAGGCGTCACTCAACCCTTACGTGTTGTATTCAGGTTGAGAATTACAATAGATTGCGTCAATTCATCAGCGTCTATACAGTTCATCTAAGGTCCGAGGTCGGCGTCTACATACCCGACAGTGCTGCCATCACAGGGTAGGTCAGCAGTACTGTCCTTTTTGATACTACTCTTGGTTCAGCTATATCTCTTATGGGGGGCTGGTGCAGATTGTCGACGGATCGCCTGCTGCAGTGACCGCCGATAGTCGTGTCTTTGCGTGGGGCCGCATGCCCTGGACGGGTGCGTTCCCCTTGTCGGTTCGATGGAGCCGTTATTGATACTATAGGTGCCCAGACATCGCAAGGACTAGAGGACGTATTATCCTTAGCCCGAAAGCGTATACGCTCCGTAGCGATAGGAGCTGGCCATGCCTTGGCTCTCACCGAAGGAGGAAAGGTAAGTGCAGCTGCTCGCTAACTTGAAGGATTGATCTTCGGTAGGTTATGTCCTGGGGACTCAATGATTCTGGCCAGCTCGGTACTGGTGATGAACGGAGTCGGATTATACCAGAAACTGTTAAGCTACCCAGCGATGTTTATATTGACAAAAGTATGAATTGACCAGCTGGTGTGGCGAGGATGTCCCGTTTAGTTGCATGTGGTCCTGACTACTCTGTTGCCGTTACTAAGGCTGGTCAGCTGTGGACTTGGGGACGGTAGGAGGCGCCGGAATTCTTCCCTGTTTGCGATTCTGAAGTTTCCTCGATACGGCCCTCGTCATGTTGTGGAGAAAGTTGGCCGTCTCCTTTGCTCCTACAGAGTCGCCTTACATATCAGGTACCAGGCTAGTAATTGGCCTCGTCTATTTGTCGATACATGGTGTAATGGCAACAAGCCTGGATGTGACAATACAGCTGTAGGACTGGCTGGCAGCAGAATCCTAAAGGTGTGCACCTCGAGGGGAGTGAGTGATACCAAAACTTGGCCACATCAGGTGTCATGTGGAGACCAACACATGCTGGCCCTCACCAAGGAAGGCGAGGTCTTCTCCTGGGGATACAACGGTGAGCTGACTTGGTTCATCATTTCCTTGCAATAAGAACATCCTCAGACTTCGGTCAGCTCGGTTGGGGGCTCCACGGGGTAGATGTTGTAGGCCAGCAACGGCCGCATAAGGTGAGTATTGCTTACTGGGACCAGGCAGTCTACCACTCCAATGGCGTGTCGCTGTTCAGGTTCCCCATTTACCTAAGATTAGCGATATCGCGGCTGGAGGTGGTCATAGTGTTGCGGTTGGTGACGACGGAGCCGTGTATAGCTGGGGGAGCAACTCACAGGGTAGGTTTCTATTATCAGACGAGGGTCTTGCCGAAGCTCTCTGGTCCTCCCACAGGTCAGATCGGCCATGGGCTCCGGCAAGATTTCGCGGAGCCAACGCGAGTACAGATGCCGCAGCCGGTTAAATCAGTGACTGCTGGCAAGGTTCGATACTAAATCACAGTATAGGACATAACTGTGCTGATGTAACTTGCGATCAGGTCACCACTCTGTTGGTCTGTGATGATGCTGATAACTCCGTAATAATGTGGGGAGCTGTGCAAGCTGCTGGCCCTGAGATGGAGGCCCCGGTGAAGGCTGCAGAGGGAATGCAGAATGGACATAAAGAAGGTAAACCGTTGAGAAGAGGGAAGTCGTAATTAGTCGTTGCTAGTGATCTCAATAATCCTCGATGTTTCCTCCTATCATTGTCGAGGCGATGTTGTACGATATTTCAGATAAAACAGAGGCACCAGCGGTAGCAGCATCGTCGGTGATGGCGAAGTTAGGTGGTGGGGGATCAGCCAGCGTTCTGATACCGGGCCAGGGAGAGGTTACTACAATGAGCATTGGGGAAGCTCATGGAGCTGTGGTTAAGGGTAGCAGACTTGTGCTGTGTTCGGTCGAATTAGATCTCGTCTTTCAGATGCTGCGCTTTATGGTTTTGGATACAACTCTGAGAACCAGGCCATCGCTACACCCTCGAAATCTTCTTTCGTGCCGCCAACACTAGTAGATCTAACTGAGATGCACAAGGGTCCTGATGACTTCAAATTCAACAAGGTAACGCGAGGTCTTCCCTCGTCGATAGTGTGGGAGGGTCGATTACGATTAGATATCCGACCTCGCCTGTGGCGGCTCGATGAGCTTGGCCGTTGCCAACTACTCCATATAAGGAGACCCCTCATCGGTTTCGTGATAACAAACACTTGTTTCATTGGCGAGTTGGTTTGCGTTGTCAATGGTGACACCTATTGAGAGTAGTGGCTCTCCTATTGGGCGCTTTATGGCTGATCGTGGAGGAGCCGTCCATCCTAGAGACCTTCTAGAAGTGAGAAACAGTTGACAGGATTGGTTCACATCACTTGATTCAGTGGATTGCGGAGCGAACTAGCTGTGGTGAAGTTGAAGGCTTTGCAGATCTACAGGATGGAGAGATACTTCTTGAGATGGTCCAGTCGGTGAGAGGAACACGGTACACATCCCATATTCAGCGAGGAGTTAACGCCTAGTTTGTGAGCATAATGGTGACAGGAACTATTCGGAGTACTGTCTCATCTCGGGAGCACCAATTCGGAGGATCAGTCCATGTGTGTGTACTGTTGAGTTCATGCTGTAGGTATGGCCAGACCTTTCCCCATTGGGAACGACGACGTATGATGCTTGGGAAGGGATCTCGCGGATCGCCAATGCAGCTGATGTACCCATGGGCATCCTAGATGCCGCAGCTCGATGGTCCAAGGCAAGCAAAGAGGACTTGAATGATAAGGCATTTGCCTCTGCTATTTATAACACACTTGCTGCACTCTACTTCCTCTGGAGTTTGTGTGAATGCCACGATTTCACGGCCAACTTTGCAATCCCCATCGACTCGTATGTGGCCAAATTCCTACAGTCGGACGCTTCCGTGCGGAGCTTGATCAAGGTGAAGGATGATCCTTCAAGGATCAATCCTCATGTATCGAGTGCTAGCTCCATGATGTCAGGGAGGGGCGCTGGCTGCTGAAGTGTCCGAGACTGCACATAAAAAGGACGATATTGCCAAGACCATCGAACCCGACAATCCTTCCCGAGCTGATCGTGGGGTGAGTCGCTACGACCATAACGAGAACCGCACTGCTTCTCTAGAAGTCTCCACATGCACCGCCGAATGCGCCTACACCTCCAAACAATCCACCGCCTGATTCCAGCAAGGAACCGAAGAAAAAACAGCCGAAGGGCGTGCAGCAGATGAAGAAAGAGAGTGCCCCGGCGCAGGCGGCTGAGAGACTATCAGAATCGACAACAAGCAACTGTCGATGGTCTTGCGGTGCTGATGCGGCCGAAAGGGGGGAGGCGACGATACACAGGCTGAGAAGCGAGGTATCGGTCGTGGCAGAGGTGTCGGGGAATAGAGAGTCGCTCTCAGGTGAAGAGACTCCAGCGGCAGCTTGAGATGGAGAGAGAGAGCTACGCTGCGATGGAAGAAGTAACGAAGCGGAAGCTTATGGAGCAGGAGCTAAGGTAAGGAGAAATGTAAGTGCATTTCGCGTGAGTGTGTAAATGTCAGGTTCGCTCATGAAGTGGAGCTCCTCAAGGAGGGCCACAATGCAGCGCTATGGGAGGCCGAGTCGGGCCTGGCAGAAGATGCGGTGTTGAAAGCTAGAGTCATGAAGGATCAGGCGGTAAGCACTCGTCGCTGCCTTTTGCGAAGGCCTATTGGGTCATGTCAGGGAAGCTTCCGCGACCGACCGCCTACCTTGAGAGAATACACGGCTTTGGAAGAGGCTTTGTCGCGAATGGATGTAGCAATGCGGAAACAGAATGAACGCATGCGAGCTCTCGAGGAGGAGAGACTCCAACTGGGAGATCAAGTGAGTTGATTCATGCAACGCGGATTACAGCCTCTATCTCGCTCAGATGCTATTGGGTTTACCATCCCGTCACTCCAACACCACCGTACAGACAGTGCGGGAGATGTATGAGGCTGTGATGTCGAGCATGGACCGGAGGCGTTCGGGCAGGGAACTGCCTAGCGCCGATCGAGAGATACTTCTGAATTTGGAGAAGCTGGTGGGGCCGTGTGGCTTTTGTCGATTTCTATGACCTGTTACCATTCGAGAGTCGTCCCTACTATGCTATCATTGGTCATCAAAACATCTACTATATGCTATCTTTATGAGGCTTTTATACCACCGGCACTTTATGCCCCAACAGAAACTCTCGTGGTGGAACTACAGCGCCAAAATGAGTAAGCGTTTCTCTTAGATAAACAGACTCGAAGAAGAGAGAATACTCCTTGAACGTCGGTCTAGAGATATGGAAGCTCCGTGGAAGGTTTCGAGTCTGAGCGATCAAGCATCGGAGTGTAGCGGGATAGGGGTCATGGATATGAACTTCTCTGCGGGAGACTCGAGCACGGTGGCCTCTGTTTGTGGAGACGCCGAAGCAATTGAGAGGTCTCTCAGGATTGAGAGAGAATGCGAAGAGTAAGGTGGAGCTTAGGAGTGTACATAAAGTCTTAAATTATATGGGCTGTGCCGAGAATTGAACTCGGGACCTCTCGCACCCTAAGCGAGAATCATACCACTAGACCACACAGCCGATAGGCTAATTTTCTCTACTTCCCACTCGTTTTGGGTTTCGATGCCAACTTGTAGCAATGAGTAGGCGTCCGAGTATGCGTCCCATGCATGCGGCCAGGTTGAGAGCAACCAGTTCGTATCTGAAGCAACGTTTGAAACTAGTCGAGGGTTCCGAATCCACGAAAGAACACACAACCAACGACGAAGCGCAACTTGTTGCTCTACTTCGACGACTCCGGGCCAGTGGTTTCGAGGTATCACCACATCTCCATCTGTATTTATGAGCCTTGATACCCATACCAGTGTGTACGTATGCTCATTCGTTCCTTCAGTCCTCTCGTACACTACTGCTCCTCTTCTGGAAGATAATTGGATCAGCTATACGGGCACGGAAGGAAGCAAGCCTCGTGAGGGCCGAGGTCGTCGGTGTGCGCAACCGCCTGCGAGAGATTGAAGCAGCGAAAGTGAGCTAGCTCCCTTTGGTCGTCTTTGGAAGGAATAATTTTAATTGGGTCGTTCTTCAGAGTGAACTTGCACACGCACATACCGATGAGATCGATTCTTTGAAGAAACAGCATCGTCGGGAGTTGAAGAAAATGAGTGAGGAAATGATGACCAATAACAGCGAAGCTGAACTACGAAAGGAGATGGCTGAGATGGCCGTCAAAAGCAGTGAGCCATTCGATAGCTTCCGGTCTTCGACAGTGCATGGTTCTCCTGATAATAACAGTGTACTGTGGTGTTCTAAATTTTGAATTGATTCCATCTTAGGGGAGTCTGAGATAGCACGCCTCCGCAACGATATGGCGAGGCAATGGAAACGGTGTTGGGTGACCGATACGGAGAGATTCGAATTCCTCTGGGGTGAGTGGGCTTATGGTGGAATCCCTCTTGATCAATCCCGTCGTCGCCTTAGACGAGCTGCAAGCTTTGCGGCTTCAAAATGAAGTGCTCGCCATCCGAGACAGGTTGCTGAAGGATCTCGTGAAGGAGACATCGTCAAACCAGAAAAATGAGCATCGTATGAAACAACTGTGGGCGAAGCTCTCGGCAGCGGACCGGAGAATCACCGACTCTACTGGTGAGCCTTCATGTCTGTGACACATGCTAGGGTGGTATCTGGGCGGGCCGCCATTGTTCAGGGTTCGTTGAGCAGAAGCAGCTCCTGCAGAATGCTGTCGAGGACCGAGTGCGAGTGTATGAGACGCGTGTAGCTGATCTTGAACGAGAGCGGCTCGGGGTACATACAGCCAACGGCGAGATGCGTTTTTGCTCTCAATCGCTTATCTCAGGACGAGCTCAATCCGCAAGCCGTTGCTGAGCTACAGGAGAGAGTTGTGAATGTGGAAGCAGCGAAGTCCAAGTTGGAGAACGAGAAAGGAATGCTCGAGAAAGAGGTGCAGGCCAAAACAGAGGTCGGCAAGCGGCAACCTCTCCTGAACCTGCGTATCACTTGTCCCGCTGCTATTCGGAGGGTTTCTCCGAGTACGTACGTAGACTTTTCAGTTTTCAGGAACTCTTGCGCATCCAACAGGAGCAGGAACGAACATCTACGGCCATGCGAGAGGCACTGGATGTCGCCGTACAGGAGAAAGCTCGACTGAGTACCGACTTGGACATATATAACGAACAGCTCAGCGCTAATGAGGCCCTGAGGGAGCTGCTGATGATGGCGAAAATTGAACCTCTCAAATTGCCGAGGACAGCACCATGAATACCATGTCAAGTTGACTTGAAGCCTCTATAATGTCGCGTTGTTACTAGGCTCTGTATCACCATTCGCATGCAGCCATGACTGATATAAATGTTCTTCATTCTGTTAAGCACGGCATGCCTCTCGATACTAGTCGTATCTGGATGAGGCTCGTGGTAAAGTCAGCCATGAAAACTTTCGCAAAATTGCTTGCCACGTGATCGGTCACCGATTGCATGACTCACTGATCGTCGGTGAGTTATGTAGTGGACGTCGACAGAGGCCATCCCGAAAAGCAAAGATCCTGAGATCCCGCCGCCTCAAGTGGATACGGAACCCGTAGTGAGAACGAATTCCGCACGCTGTAGCCCACCGAGCTGGGTATATTGTAGTGGGTCGGCCACGAGCCGATCTTAACTGGGCGAGCTTGGCCTGATGAAACGATCATCGGAAGGCCCGGTGCGAAACTGGACATGTGGTTCGGAGAGTTCCCTTTTGGGTGAATGACCATCCCATTGAGAAAGTTTGGACGAAGTAAGTCCGATGGCGAAACATCAGGGTGACGACGAGACCTCCCTCGCAGGAACTCCGTGACTCGGCAAAGGACCTATCTACAGCGAGCGCAACTCCGTTCATAGCGACACTCTAGTCAAGCGAACAGCATGTTCGTCTTGCTCAGAATTCCAAATCGGGTTCAAATCAAATTTTCATATCTACGAGCCGAAAGAATGAGAAAAACGATCCTTGTGTTTGGCATGTCGTTATTATTGCCCAGGCTACTCTCTCGACCACTTTCCATCCTCACTGGTTCCACCGCGCGATATTGCCTGCTCTGTTCCCAGCCTTAGCCTTTGCCCGCGACTTCAGCTGTCCGGATGCGACGACTTCCATCATCCCACCCAGACCTAGTGGCCCCTTGGGACGGGCGACCAATCTCTGATCAGCCCTAGGCACGACCCACCATTCACACAGATCTAGCTCCCCCATGGGTCACAGGCGATCGCTATTCACCCAGCTTACTTAAACTCCAATGTCATGGGGACACTTGGTACAATCTACGCAAGATTGAAGAATGAATGGTATGAACAACATGCCGATCAACTTCCAGATAAAAATGGAAAAATGTCACTCTCGGGGATAGAACTAGGGTTCAGCGTGATGCCGTGCCAGAACGATGATGCAGAACTTCATACACGAAATGCTGACGAACACGTAAACAGTCTGGCAAGCTCATCTCTCGCATCATCTCTCATCCTGCACACCAGCAGGTAGGGCAACATCAATTGAGGTGTTCTTTATCAGGACAACAACAACAGATAAGAAATTGTGAAGACCTAAGCAACCACAACTTCGTTAGTAACGAGATACATCTTCCTATCACGCGCGCGTGCAGAATTGATAATCGAACCGTCCGCGTGAGGTCATGTTAAATGGATAGATGAGTCTCGCTTTTTCTCGCTGAAATCTCGCCGACCCAGTTACGAACCGTGCGCCACAGACCATGGTCCTCGAAAAGTGCCTCTGCAGACTGCTCCCCGTTATTCCGTAACATTGCATGTCATTGAGAGAGATGGAGAAACCATGTCCTCCGGTCCTCAGCTACGGGTTGGGAAGGACTTAGAACTTCTAAATGATGCAGGATCACCATGCCCCATTGAAGACGACTTAGATGCCGAACCAGTGGCGATCTCTGCTCTAGCAAAGCTACAACGCCCATTGGGTCCAGCACATGGGGCGAACGAAACGAGAGAGTCATCACAGAAACTGCATAGACTATGAAACATGAGCGTGAACCGATTTAATCCTCGTCGAATCGCTTCTGTCGTTGCTTCTCTCTATCAATGCGTCTGACTTTCGTAGCGCCCCTCTTCCCCTTCTTGTGAATGACATCGTAGCCACTAGGACCGTCGGACCTGAATAATACAAATACATCGAGTCAAGCTCGTCCCAGCTCCTCCTCCCAGAGTACTTCTTAGGCGGGAGAGCGAACTCAGGCCCCATGCTAGTGAAGTTTTGGGGGAGGTGCCGCATACTCGTATGGCCAGGCCGACGAGGAGCCCCGTCCTCGGCGAGAAGATCGGCATCCTCAGCCAACCAAGCATCCCGTCCTTTCGGTGCAACGAACAACAGAGACGTCTCCTCGTCGAAGCAAGTCCCTCCTTCCCCACACGGTGCCGTGAATAGATCATCGACTACATGACCAACCCTAAGGCCTCGGCATATCTTCTCATTCGCCTCGCTGGGTGGTGTGATTCCTAGGACGTGGGGCCAGATATTGAGGCGCCAATAGATGACCAGCATGCCGTCCTTCTTGGGGTCCGCCGTCTCTTCATATGCCATATTACCAGCCCCTCCGAGGACTGACGAATCATAATACGCAATCTTGGCCACCATACCGGACAACCTCTGTCCCGCAGGCATCTTGCGGGGAGGCACCTTGGATGAAAACTCCCTGTTCAACTTGGGATACACCGAGGTGAAGAGCCGAGATCGATCGACGATGTAGTCGTCGGCCATGCCAGAATCCGACACAAGTAATCGCTTGTGTTGTTCCTTCCGTATTGGTAGAAGGCCACCACACGCTGTTTTCTGACCAACGTGATATAGACTGCAAAGGGCCGGAAGGGATAAGTCCGAGATGCCATAATCTGAAAAAAGAATATATCGTCACACACAAGACAGTCCACCAGTATCCTTGCCTCCGGCCTTGCCCGAGAACTCCTCGAGCATCCAATGGCCAATCAGCGTATCATAAACATTCTGAATTTGAACTGCTGCATCAGCATCACCCATCAACCAACTGCAGAACTCCCTCGAGTCGTGCATGACCTGTGAGATAACAAGTCACTGGGAAACACCGTTACGCGAATACTATCAGAGCTTTTCGCTCCTAGTCGCTCCCAGGATCACCTTCAATATACTGGGCTCTCCTAGAAGTGGTCTGAGCAGGTTTAGGTCATCTACTAAGGCCACACCGCCTTTACTCGCTACGGTTATATCACCACCATGCTGGATAATCCTACATGAAAAGGCAAGCCGATCGAGATAAGAAACCATACCAATCTCGGTATTGGAAATTCTACATCATTCTTCCGCACGGGCAACCAGTGTCTCAG